ATATATATATATATATACATACACACACACACACACACACACATACATATATATATATATATATATATACACATACACTTTTTTTACCAACCTCAAACCAAACCCAACATGTATAAACCGTGTTCCAAATTATTATGCAAGTAGCATATCAGTAGGATTTCATTCAAAGCCTTGAGGGTGAGTAATTTATGGGCTAATTTTCATTTTTGGGTGAACTAACCCTTTAAAGAGGTTGTTTCACATTATTAAGCAAGTCACAGTTCTCATGCAATATGGGGAGAAAGAAAGCTCTTTCTGAAGGTGAAAAGCGTGAAATAGTGCAATGTCTTGCAACAGGCATGAAAACAATTGATATATCGTGAAAACTGAAAAAAATAATTAATAATTTAATAATTAATGTTATTAAAAGGGCAGCTATAAAAAAAGCCACTGTTGAGCAGCAAACAGGTATTTGAAGCTGCTGGCATCTCTGGAGTCCCAAGAACCTCTCGATGCAGGATCCTTCACAGGCTGGCAGTTTCGACCACCCCTAACCAAAACTCACAAAGAGAAACGTTTGCAATGGGCTCAGAATTACATGAAGACTAATTTTCAATCAGTTTTATTCACTGACAAATGCCATGCTACACTTGATGGGTCCAGATGGATGGAGTTCTGGATGGTTGGTGAATGGCCACCCTGTTCCAACAAGACTGAGACGTCAGTAAGGAGGTGGAGTAGGCATGGGCCGGTATGAGATTTTGTCCAAAAGCCACCGGGTGGCGGTGAGCCCGGGTGCGAGGGCCCTTTCATCGCTGCTTGCAGCTTTAATTCTTTTTGCATCCTTCTTCAGCGTCTCTGGCCTGTTTTAAAGGGCGTTTAAAGACTTCATATTTTCACATAAATTACATTTTGTAAAATGATTGCATTGCAAACGCAGTTTGTGCAAGTCCAGAACAGAGATCGGCTGCATTGCAATAAAACAAAAACACGGCCGGTTGCCGATCGCGTAAGTTACAGGGGAAGCTATTGTATCTATTATAGCTATTGTAGCTATTATATCAATCCTATTGAGAACCCGAGGAGCATCCTTAAAAGGAAGATCTATGAGGGTGGGCGGCAGTATACCTCCAAACAACAGCTCTGGGAGGCAATACTGGCATCCTCAAATGAAATACTGCCAGAAACTATAGGCTACATTGACTTACAAGTTCAATGGATGAGAGAATTGTTAAAGTCATCTCCAAGAAGGGTGCATATATTAATATGTAACTTGAACTGTAAATAGGTTTTTAGTTTTAAATTGTGTTTATTTTTGGAAAAATGACCTGTCCATGCAGCAAATATGACAGATTTCTGTTTTGAGTTCATTATAACCCATTGAACGTTTTCAAACTGCATTCTGCATAATTGTTTGGAACAACATATTTTGTGTTTTTTTTCAAAATATAAATAAAACTGTTTACATTATCAGGTCTTTCACATGTAATAACATTTTCATTGTAAAATAATAGTTGAGGATAAAATTAATCCATCATACGATTCTGAAGACAGTCAGTTCCCCTCAGAGAAACATTAATATAAATCCCCAAATCAATATTTAGGATTTTCTTCCAATAGATCGTGCATCATGAACAGTGATCTGCCTGCTACAGTATTTTTCTCTTTGCATCCTTCTTCAGCGTCTCTGGCCTGTTTTAAAGGGCGTTTAAAGACTTTATAATAATTTGGAACACGGTGTAGAGCAAAGCATAAATACAATCAATGATATTTAACTCCAAAAAGAATATCACACAGAAACGCTGGTGTGAATAAACAAGTTTACCTGCTGCAGGGATGGACATGAGCACCACCAGGAATTTCTTGATGAGGGAAGCGAGAAAGGTGCGCTCCTTCTTAGCTCTGTGAAAACACAGTTCATGAGACTCACAGGACATTGTTTTGAGGTGTTTCAGGTTTATGGGGCGTGAGGCCGTTTCTTACTGCTCCGTATCCTGCGGCTCCATCTTCTCATAGTTCTTTTTAATGAGGTTCCAGAACTTCTGCAGTTTTGGGACCTTCTTCAGCTCCTGCTGCAGTCTCGTCTGAATAAACAAAATCTGGAGTCACTTTCAAACATCTCAAACAGTGGCCATGCATGAAATATGTAGTAACGCATAAAATGAAAATTATGTAATAGTGCAAGAAATATGTAAAACTGATTTTAATGGAGTATAATATTGAGGTTTTGTACTGTACCACATGCATTTTGATAAATGTGGCTGATGTAATGGACAGCAGGTAAGTGGTTTAGAATTTTCAAATCGCAGTATACCTTGAAACCGGTAATCGGCCCATGCCTATGGTGGAGTGATGATTTGGGCTGGAATATCGGGAAGTGAGATGGTAGGTCCCTTTATGGTCCCCGACAGTGTCAAAATGACCTCTGCAAGATATGTGGAGTTCCTAACAGACCATTTTCTGCTATGGTATAGAAAGAAGAATTGTGCCTTCCGAAATAAAATTATTTTCATGCAACAAAAAAATACCATTGATTCCTTGATTGCTATAGGCATAAAAAGAGAAAAAATCATGGTGTGGCCACAATCATCCCCTGACCTCAATCCTATTGAGAACCTGAGGAGCATCCTTAAAATGAAGATCTATGAGGGTGGGCGGCAGTATACCTCCAAACAACAGCTCTGGGAGGCAATACTGGCATCCTCAAATGAAGTACTGCCAGAAACTATGCATGGACTTACAAGTTCAATGGATGAGAGAATTGTTGAGAAACAGAAAAATATCTTCTGTTAGTTCTGTTTTATTAGGGATGAAGCCGAAACTCATATCACATTAGTTCAAATTAATACAGAGCTTTTGAAGACATGTTTTTTTCAGTTTCAGTGTTGCTGATCACTGGATGCAATCACTATATAGTTCAAATCAAACGCTGTAGTATCATCAATGTCCATGTGCTCCTGCCACTTACTAATGCTACTTGTCTTGTTTTCTGCATGTGGAACATAAATGTGGCACATTGCATTTATTTCCAAATACAAAAAGATTCTCAAACAAAGAAAAAATCCGGCAGTATACCTCCAAACAACAGCTCTGGGAGGCAATACTGGCATCCTCAAATGAAATACTGCCAGAAACTATAGGCTACATTGACTTACAAGTTCAATGGATGAGAGAATTGTTAAAGTCATCTCCAAGAAGGGTGCATATATTAATATGTAACTTGAACTGTAAATAGGTTTTTAGTTTTAAATTGTGTTTATTTTTGGAAAAATTACCTGTCCATGCAGCAAATATGACAGATTTCTGTTTTGAGTTCATTATAACCCATTGAACGTTTTCAAACTGCGTCCTGCATAATTGTTTGGAACAACATATTTTGTGTTTTTTTTCAAAATATAAATAAAACTGTTGACATTATCAGGTCTTTCACATGTAATAACATTCTCATTGTAAAATAATAGTTGAGGATAAAATTAATCCTTAATCATACTGACCGATTTGGAAAAACAAACAAAAATGGCATGTGCATAATAATTTGGAACACGGTGTAGAGCAAAGCATAAATACAATCAATGATATTTAACTCCAAAAAGAATATCACACAGAAACGCTGGTGTGAATAAACAAGTTTACCTGCTGCAGGGATGGACATGAGCACCACCAGGAATTTCTTGATGAGGGAAGCGAGAAAGGTGCGCTCCTTCTTAGCTCTGTGAAAACACAGTTCATCATGAGACTCACAGGACATTGTTTTGAGGTTTTTTAGGTTTATGGGGCGTGAGGCCGTTTCTTACTGCTCCGTATCCTGCGGCTCCATCTTCTCATAGTTCTTTTTAATGAGGTTCCAGAACTTCTGCAGTTTTGGGACCTTCTTCAGCTCCTGCTGCAGTCTCGTCTGAATAAACACAAAATCTGGAGTCACTTTCAAACATCTCAAACAGTGGCCATGCATGAAATATGTAGTAACGCATGAAATGAAAATTATGTAATAGTGCAAGAAATATGTAATAAAACTGATTTTAATTGAGTATAATATTGAGGTTTTGTACTGTACCACATGCATTTTGATAAATGTGGCTGATGTAATGGACAGCAGAATATAAAGCTCATATACAGTAGGACATGAAATGTGCGGCAGGCCGAGCTGCTCGCCCGACAGACACGACTCCATCACACACTTGAAGAAGTGAGGGAAGTGCGTGGGTGCTTTCTTAAAAACCTGAAGAGACAGAAACAGTGCACTCACATCAAAACACACTTAATGATATCTACCTGCGCCTGTAAAAAACACATAAATAAATACAAAATCTGTGAAATTTATGATTAAAACCAGCACCCGTGGTTGTCAGAGCTTTACCTTGAAAATAGCAAAATAAATAAATAAAAATTCAACAAGTTTTACAGATTAACCGTAATTTTTCAAAAAAACTATTATATATATATTAGGCTTGCCGTGACATACGGTGTTGACGGTGATACCGGTGTTAAGCCGCGCAGCAGACACATCCACATGGGCAGAGAGACCAGCTTCTGCACCTGCTCACGGATCAAGTCCACTTCCTGTAGTCACAAAGAAACAGAAAAATATCTTCTGTTAGTTCTGTTTTATTAGGGATGAAGCCGAAACTCATATCACATTAGTTCAAATTAATACAGAGCTTTTGAAGACATGTTTTTTTCAGTTTCAGTGTTGCTGATCACTGGATGCAATCACTATATAGTTCAAATCAAACGCTGTAGCATCATCAATGTCCATGTGCTCCTGCCACTTACTAATGCTACTTGTCTTGTTTTCTGCATGTGGGAAAAAATGCACATTGCATTTATTTCCAAATACAAAAAGATTCTCAAACAAAGAAAAAATAAAGTGTGTGCAATTGACGCCGAACTGCCACTAATTCGAAAGTGAAAGTAAAATGCGCACGGCGCTTTTGAGCTATTTAAAAGCAAAGGAAAGCGAGGAAAAGAGGGAAAATTCAAACGAACTGAAAACGAACAATTCCTTTACTCCGAATTGCCGCTATTTGAAAGTGAAAGTAAAATGGGCACACCGCTTTTACAAGCTATTTAAAAGCGAAAGAAAGCGAGGAAAAGAGGGAACGCCCCGCCCCCGCGGTGATCCCGGTGTTGTCACACATCGATTAACCGGTGGGAAAATTTCCTCACCGTCACAACCCTAATATATATATAACAGAAATAATGTTATTACACCATTTTTTTTTTTTACCTTTAAAATACACTGACAACCACCTTAAAAACACAGGTGGCATAGAGGAAGTCACATGATGAACAAATTATATCAAATGTCCTATTAGACCTGTTAGAATTAGCATTTTAACAGGCTTCCAGTGGTAAAATTGTGATCACTTTTTAAAGTACTGTTCATTTTGATCAAACTGTTACTGTGGATCTGAAGTCTGTTCTGATCTCATCGTCAGCTGTGGTCAAACATGTGTGAATCAATGGGTAGCACCGAAACTAAACTTTTAACAAAACACCAAATCTGAAAGTACAGTTTTCATTTAGCCCAAATACAAAACTGAAAATAACATTTCAGTAATTAAATCACATTTTTTTTAACAGTTTGTCAAAATGTTTGCGCATCAGTAGTGAAGGTGCTGTATTCGATGTCATTCATGTACAGAAGTGTAACTTATTTTACATAGCAGTGCATTTGAAGTCCATGCAATCTACCCATTAATCAACGGTTTAATACAAACCTCCCAAGCGGGAACATTTTCTCGAAACTTCTCATTGACGATACAGCAGATGGACATCAGGTAGCCGTTAGTGGAGGCTTCAGGCGTGTAGTTCGGCCACAGGTAGTTCTCCAGGTACTGGCTGCAAAACCAACAAGAACATCAGCAAACCACCAGTCCTACAGATCCTCTACTAACAAAACCTGTGCGGAAACCACCAACCTGAACTCCAACAGCATAATTTTTCTGATGGCAAATCTAAAAAAAAAAAAAAGAAACAGCCAAAGTCAATATGCATCAAAGTTATCAAATCGTTCATTTAAAACACTTTCATATAGAGCAGAATACGCAAGACGACAACAGCTTTGTTGGCACCAATTTCTAATAACAACAATCACAGTATTTATAATACTAATGCAAGAACTAAACACAAAGAGTCTTACTTTGATTTGAGAATCTCATTCTGATAAATGTCTTCAATGACCTGCAAATAGAAAATAGTCAATGTTCATAGACCACATTCTGAATAAAGCTAGGCTTTAAAAGTTGATCATTCACTGACTTGAAAATGCAATTCTGGCCAAACACAACAATACATGAGCATAAAGCAACATACCTTCAGGATCTATATTTCTCTCTATATATTTTGTAAAGTCAAATCCTGCAGACTGAAGCTAAAAGGAGAATTAAACCTCAAAGCCTCACCTGAGAATCAAACGGTAGTTTGTTCTTGACATGAGGAGCCCAGTATTTGTTTGAAAGCTTGAGAGAGAAACACAAAACAGGAATAAAATAAGCACGTCTGGTGCTAATTCAAGCAGATGTAGACTAGGGCTGTGCAATATATCGAAATTATCGAAATATCGCAAATGTACATATCGCAATATGCATATCGCTACAGCTTGCAATATTTGGGACCATGAACAAAAGACAAAGAGAAAATCACTCACAGCATTCACTGCTGAAAACTCAAAAAAATATCAATTATACGCTGCGGTGTGAACTTAACCAATACTGCTAATCAATATAAACTTTGTTATAACAGAAACGCCATGAATACGTTGCGTAGCTTTAGCTGTATGCTAACATGTGGGACTGTTATCTTCAGATAACTGAGAATTTCTCTCATAATATTTGTCTGTCCTCAGGCACAACTTAAAAGATTTTTTTTATTTTTATTTATTTTTTTTTATTGCTTTTCTTATTTAGTTTTATTTATTTATTTTAAGTATTTGTTTTCATTCAGTTTAAATGTTATTGCCCTTATATGTTCTTTGTTCTAAAAATTACAACTTAAAAGATTTGATATAGTGACAACAACTTCCGCTTTCTTCTTCTTATGATGTTTAATGGCGGTTGGCAAACCAGCTTTTGGTGCATATTCCGCCAAATGCATAAATTAAATAAAAACAGAAAAAAGAAAAAAAACACAGTGATGCACATTCTTCATTCATCATTTTGTAGATGTAGAGTTTTAAAAAAAATCGTTGAATTTTATGTAGAAAAGTTAAATCGCCATCTTGTTCCGACCAAAGTGACTTGAATGCACCTGACGTCGTAATTACAACTTGTCAACTCGTAAGTACGAACGTCCCAGGAGGACTTCAACGCAGCATTAGAGCAGGGTTGGAACTAAACTCTGCAGGGCTGCGGCCCTCCAGGAAATGAGTTTGACACCTAGTCAGAGCAATTTTGAACTACATTAAAAAAAAAAAAAAAAACTTCTACCTATATTTTATTATATAAATTTGTTATTTTCAGAAAATTAATAAGAGCTGGAGTGATTTATTACGATTAGAGTGAACATCCGCTTTCTTCTTCTTCTTTTGGTTTTATGGCGGGTTGCGAACCAACTTCACAGGTGCATACCGCCACCTACTGTGATGGAGTGTGAAGAGAATGTACCGTTTCTCACCTAACCCTGATATTCTGTTCATTATTCCACAGTTCTTCATAAATCTCATGATTGCACTTATTTGTTGTCCTGCATTTGGTCCATCATTCAGAATACTACTTAATGAAAATTCTTTAATTCCTAAGGATTGTAACTGATCCCTTTCTCTTTCATATGCTGTACATATCATCATAACGTGTTCCACAGATTCTTCTGTTAAACAAACATTACATAGACCAGTATTATGTTTCCCTAATGTATAGTGTTTGGTTAAAATGACTCGTTAACTTCCGCTTTCTGAGTGTCCTTCCAAAATAAAAGCCGAAAGACTTTCTTTGCAGAAGAAGAAGAGAGACATTTGGACAAAGGTCAGTGGTTCTCAACCTTTTTGATTTCAAGGCCTCCGCTGCTTTCAAAACGTACTCATATTTTTTACCCAATAATAATTTATGGAGCTTGGCATAACCAGAAAAATGTATAACATTGATAAAAATGAACATAGCATTTTAAGATCTTATTAATTCACCTGTTGATACAAATACATGTTTTTATACATCTGCAAAAACACGTAGGCTAAAAAAAAATAAAAATAGGCTAAATAAATAAGTAAAATAATAATAATAATAATAATAAAATGTGCTCGCCTTTCTCTTTCGAGGTGTAACTGTTTTTTAGTATAATTCTGTCAGATCGCCTGTCAATCAAAAACTAAATAATACAAATCTAAAATTAAACAAATATAGTTTATGCTAGTTAAATTAGCCCAAATGTTTATAGCAGTGTTTAAAAATGTGTTATTTTGTGTTGGTCTAGTGGTGAATACATGCTAGAACAACCTTTTTTTATGATTTCTTCAAAAGTATCAGTGGATATGTTGACAAGAAGCAATGGTAAACAGAAATTTTAAAATCATTTGTATAAATTAGTATTTACCATTTGGAATAAAAAGCTATTACGTAAGAAAGGTAAAAAGCACTTAATTGCTAATTAAACATAATTGAGGATAAGTGAAAACTATAATAGAGAATGAATAGGAATAATAAAGCATGAATAAGTGTATGGAATGTGCTGGAAACCCTTGCAGCAGACGCAGACGTCACGTTCATTGAGACGAGTGCATGCATCATATTAAAGAGCCCATCCGAACCTTTTCTTGTTAGCTGGGTCAGCCCTGGGCCCATATGCAAAAAAGTTGTACGGGCCCCCCCAAACGTTATGGGCTCCAACTACTCTGTTAACTTATTGTTGATTTTTCTGAAGTAGTTAAATAACGTTACGTGACTATTCACAAGCAGTTTTATTTACGGTAGCCTATAGCAGGCAAGCCACCCAATAATCGCAATAAGCTTTGTGCTTTGTTACTTTTATTATAACACAAAGTCTCAGCCTTCTGTCAATATTATGATAAAATACAAACAATAAATGTGTTTTTACGCTCTTTAATTTGTAGTGAGATAGCTAACTATATATTCGCCTGAGTTCAAGCGGCATGTGAATTAGGCCTAATGATATTTTCATCTTTAATATTTGCAGCACGAAATAAACATGAATAAATATTTGAATGCATGTTGAAAAAAAATCAGAACAATTTAATACAATCAAATGTCTTATGAAATCGATCAATCAGAGTTACAAAAAAACATCAATAAGCCTACGTTTTATTGCTGTTTTTCATGTTAAATGTTAAGAATGACAGGTTGGATGACACGGGCCTTTTTTTTTTTTTTTTTGGCACAGGTGGAATTTTCAAATTAACTTCACGCAATATAACATGATTTTATTATCGTAATTTTGACTTTATTATTAAAATATTATGGCGTTAATCTTATTTAGTATTTAGTTATTCCTTTTTTAACGTGGCACTAAAATGCCGCCATAGGCTTTTTGTACTGCATG